TTTTTTTTTTTTTTGCCTATATTTATACAACTTATAACTATATACAACTTGAAATTATTCAAGTTGAAATTATTCAAGATGTTTGTTGTTCTTATCAATTTTCAATGTATTCAATAATAAAGTATAAAAGAATTCTATTCTTTATTTTGTATTTAATATAATTTAATAAATATGATTGATTGATATGATGATTGAAATATATAATGCCGTATGATTTGTTGTATTGATTTATCGCATCATATCCTCATTGAGATTATTATTATATAAATGCTTCAGCGAATTTGCACAACATTCTTTATAATAAGAACAACATGAACAAATAAAAATTAATTAACTAAAATTAAAACTGTTCACTCGTGTAAATAAACTCGTGTAATAAAATAATAATCTTTAATTTAAAAATATTTCTTCTCTTCTTTATAAAATATCATTTCAGGAAATCATAATAAAAAAAAATAATTATTTATTATTAAATATCATTTAATTTATATAAATTATCAATAATGTGAAAAATAATATTATGATTATAATAGTCACATAATAATTATAATAATCATAATAGTCAGAATTTGAAAATAAAAATAAAATTTATTATTTAATTAAAAATATTTTAAATTTTTAATAATTAATGAACTCTCTCTAATTAGAAAATTTTTAATATTATATTATCAATATTAAATATAATAATAAAGAAGGAATATTTCATTTTTTATCAAGCAGAATCACATTCCATAACGAATTTTTCCATCTTCTCTCTTTTTTTCTATTTCATATTTTTCTCGTGGCATTCCAATAGTTTTGTAGAAATTGTGCCACACAATTTCAATCTCTATATGATCAGTATTTGGCATTAGTATTTTGTTAGTCGTATTTTCGAACGAATTTTTGTCACAAACTGTTGTTTTGAGAAAATTCCCTTAAAGTAATTGAGTAATTGAAAAATCAAGTTTGATCAGATAATTAAAAAATTTAAAACATTCTGTATATATATATATATTTATTTGTTTTTTAAAATGTTTTTATGATTATTTTTCAAAATTGTTTTGTTTGATTATTAATGAAAAGTATCTTTTCTTATTTAATATAGTATTATATATCATTTTTTTTTATTTCAGTTATATATTTACAAAATATTTATTTTGTAAATATTAAATAATAAAATAATAAAATTAATTAAATTTTATAATCTAATAACTAGAAAATCATGTTTGAAAAAATTTCAAAAATTAAAATAAAAACAATTCATATATTCTTTTGCCTTTTTTTATTTATAATTCTACTTATAAATTATAAATTATTTTAACATAAAATATCATAATTGATCCACAATTTTGTGCACAATTGATCCATTGATTTTCGTTTCTTTTCTAATTAAAAAATTATAATTGACATAAGTATTACATAAAAAAAATTTAGTATTGAATATATTAAACATTACGAAGATCTAATTATAGAAAAACATTGGCAAATTAGAATTAAAATAAACAAATCTTATAATTTTTATTATTGGTTGAATAACAAAAAAGAACACAAATAGATTCAATGAATTGAAATAATTTTATATTCTGTTCTAAATCTAAGATTCTTTTGTGATTATATTTATCTCTAATATATTCGTGACCATGACTGCCTCCTAACTCAGTAATTAATATTGGTATACAAACAAATACATATACTGTTCATCGAAATGACCTACTTTAACTATTTGGTTTCGTGATTTTATCCTCGAGAATTGTTTCAAATCCGTGAATCATTCATTTTTCTATCATCAATAATCGTAATAACATTTATTATTGATATTTTTTTCTTCTTTTTTTTTTTACAGTATTTCTTATTGTGAATGATTTATTGTGATTTCAATAAATTATTTAGAAAATAAAGAATTCTTTGTTAATCATTTTTTTTTGTTTCCGTTTATAATTAATGAAGCTTCTAATTAAGAATCAGAATCTTTGTTAGAATTTGTAGTATTATTCTATGATTTATAAATCTTTAATTTTAATAAAAAAATTTATTTTCAATTTTTTATTATTTTTTTTTCAAAGAATCTTTTGTTTCTTTTTATCAATAATTTCTTGATTAAAAATTATAATTATTATTCAAACAAAATAATATTAATATATCAAATAATCAAATAATCTACTTCATTTTTTAATTAAATTGTTTACAATAAAGTGCAATGCATAAAAATACTGTTTTCTTAAAATTTAATTTTTTTAATATATTTTAATGCAATTATATTATATTTATACTTCTATGTGACGTTTCGTCAGTTTGTAACGTTTTATACCGCAAACTCGCCCTAATTACATATAACGGTACTATGATTGCAGAATATATATATATATATAAAATATATTTATATATATTTTAATTATATATTATGCTTATAAGAAAATCATGGAATATTATTCTATTCACTTCATTCTCATTATTAACGATTTAATTAATGATGAAAAGATTTACAATTTCAATTGCAATTTCAACCAAAATTTATTATTTAAATATAATTTATAACTTTTAATATTTCAATTTTTTTTATAAAATGTTTGATTAAAACTTATTTTTAAATGTAATTTTCTATTATTTTATTGAATTTATAAAAAAACATTTATAAAAAAAATTAAGAAATATAGATTAATCCTTAGAGTTATAATCTTCCATAAAGATGAATTAAAATGATTTAAAATATATATATTATGTAAATTTTAAATATTATATTTAAATATATATTTATATATTTAAATATAATAAATATGTATTTAAATAATTATTGTTAGATATTTTTTAAATAATATTTCATAATATGTAATAGAATGCAATTATTTAGATTATAACGAAAAAAACGATATATAACATAATTAAATTCAAAAATTAAATATAATAAAAAATTAATTAATTTTTAAATTTTAAAAATTAATCAAATAATATATTTTCTTTTTAATGTTTTAGATTTTAAAAATAATGAATATTTATAGTTAAAAAATAAATCATGATACCTGAATCTAATAATAAAATGAAGGTGGATGTTTTCCACTGATCTCGGAATCAGAGTTCCCAAGCATTTAAAACTCCATGTAAATAAACTCTAATTATCCTTCAATTCGTCACTTTCCGTTTTCCCTCATAAAGAAAACAATTAAAATCACGAACCCGACGAAGGTGAGTAAAACATATGACGAAACCATGAAAACTTGCAGTCCTAGTAGAAGGTCACACATCGACTGAGATGCTTCAACGACCAAGTGACAGCAAGAAGACATCAGAGATGGTAGCAATAAGATGAAGAGGTGGGAACATGAAGGAACGTGAAATGTATTTTATAGGAATAGAACAAATCTAAAGAAGAATCTAAACGAAATCTCGGAAGATTCTCCTTCAGAATGAAAGTATAATGAATCAATGAATTTTGATGACTTCGATTGTGTAAAAAATTAACTTTTATTTTTTTATTTTATTTTATTAATCTTGTATTATATTATATTGTATTGTAATAAATTGATGACTGATATATAAATTTTAAAAAGAATCTAATTTTCATTTTTTTATAAAAAATTCAAAAATTGATATTATATAAATTAGTGATATATAAAATAATAATATGTAAATTTTACAAGAAAACTTTTAGATATTGATAAAAATTTAAAGCTATAATATATTTTTAAATAAATAAGAAATAAATTCTGTTAAGTTCTATAAATAATTAAGTTATAAGTTTCTTAAGATATTTTTGTTAATCTTGATTTATAAATATCATTTAATATCATCATTATAAATTTGGTTTTTTTAATGTTTATTATAAACTTTGTGAAATTCTAATCATTCTTTATATTTTTTAATTAATATTTTTTTTTAATTTATTTTTATAAAATAAAATTAATTTATTTAATTCAATAAAAGAAAAAAAGATTTACTAATTAATTATATATATTTAATAAATTATTTAATAAATTATATTAAAAAAAATTGTTTTTTGTTTTCATCAAAAAAATGTAACATGAGAAATAAATACAAACTTTTTAAGATTTTTTTAAATACATCAATATAGAAAGATACTTTAATGTATATATTATATATATTAATAAGAAAAAGAAAGACAGAAAAGAGATAATATATTTCAACGTATTTCACGGTTAGATGGTGAAGGTAAGAAAGAAGAGTAGTTGAATCTGACTAATGAACAACAGACTCGACAGAACGGTACGTGGAACAGTTAGACGACGACCCACATTACAGGGAGTTGTTCAGGGCCGGCCAACGTGCCAGTTTCTTCGAGCTTATCCTTCGTTAACGCAAACTAAACATTTTAGGATTCTACTAATATCTTTCAATTATTCTTTCTCTTTTTTCTTTAAAATTTCTACCTATTATATATATTATATATTATATGTAGAATATTCTATTCTATTATATATATGAATAATTATCTTTCTATTTCTGTTTGTCTTTAATTAATAATTTTCTTTCTTAAAATTTATACTAATGATTCATTAAAATTATAGATTTATTTTCTTCAATTATTTCTAAAATCTATATATCTATATCAATAATCATTATTATTGATATTCAAGCACCAATATTCAGTTTTTTAAAAAATTTATGAAAATATTTTTAAATTTTTTAGAAAAATTATAAAATAAAAAGTTTAAAATAAGTATTAAAGAATTGTTGGATTATAAAAAGAATGTTTTTCATTTAGTTAAATATAAATTTATTTATATTTTCTATATTTCTATATTATATTTTATTTATTTATAAATTCATAATTTCGTATTCATTTTTCATAATTTCGTCCTTTATTAAAATGTTTTACATAATAAAATCATATCTAATATCTATTTTCTTTTTCCTTTCTTTATAATAGACATTGGTGCTGGTAATGGTATTTTCAAAGTGACAATTTTTTTATCTTCTTTATTGGGTAAAGCACCAATAATTCTGGCAAGATCTGTCAATTTTTTTAAACCCATACGGTGACTGAATATAGTTGCAAATAATTCTAAATCTAACGTAAAGTTGCAAATTATTAAAGCTAATATCATACAATGTATCACTCCTTTATCTTTTACACTAGTTGGCCTCAGCCTAAAAATTACTTATTAAATTATTAAAAATATTATATTATTATATTATTTATATATATATATATATTTTTTTACATACCGTCCATGATTACTCTGAACACTATATGTGTTTATTATATATGAATTAATTTCTTCAGATACTAAAC